GTGATTTTAAAATAGATAATGAAAACCCAAATATTCTCTGGATAAACCGTAGTGAAAACTATATTCTCATGTTAAATAAAATACTTTGTTTCCCTTTTGGGCACCTCAAAAAAGCCTGGAAAAATTCTAAAAAGATGCCAATGATGGAGAAAATGTGCAAGTTCTTGATTTCATAGTTTCCTCCCCAACTATTATTATCACAATTTGTAGCAAATTATCATGAATTTGTAGTTTAATTTCTTACTTTAGAAAGTCACAGCAGCCCTGCTGCTGAGCTAATGAAGATGTTTTCCATGAATTGCCCTTACTCTGTGGTCTCTGCAGTGCCAGGCGTGCTTTACTGCCTGCAGCCTTTCTGTTGTCCTGACAACTTTCCTCTCTTGAGGAAGCTGGGGAAATATTGCATGGTCCTTGTAAAGTCCAGACTCCAGGAATTGCATTGGAATAGGCTGAAGGCTTCACACCAAGGAACAATATAACTATAAACGTGGGGAGGAATACGGTCATGACTTCATTCTTCATAAAATCCTCCCATATTGCAAAGCCCTTGGCAGGGGAGTAAAGCAGATTATCTCTGTTCTGCTCTGTGCTCTCCACTCTTGTCATATTTCTTTTTTGTTGCATTGGTAACTGGGTACTTTCAGAAATGAACCTCTGCACAGCAATGCATTCCTGATTTAGGTGTTGGATTTGAGTCTCAGCTAGAGCTCCAACTCTGCCTGCTGTCCCAAAATCCCAGTTGGGTGTGCTTTTGTGGGTATGCAGAGCACTTGCACTGGCCATTCTCTCATCCGTTTGGTGCTTGTCCAGCTGATCTTTCTTAGGAGGGAGGTTTTGAGATCACGTTCCCCAACAGTTGTGCTGAGGATAATTTTCAATTTCATCTTGAGCGGGGTGGTATGCTGGGGTAGTAAGGTGCTTTAAACACCATGAGAACCTCAAAGTCCCACTGACTTCTTTACGCTAATCCCCAGCTGCGAGGATTAGGTTGAGCTTTTTAGGAAAAGAGAATTCCAGGAAAGAGAAATTCAGTGTGTGTGACCAAACGCAGCAATGTTTGCACAGAATGTTCAGAAGCCAAGTGTCAGCTGCAGCTCCAAGCCCACTGACTGCAGTAGAACCAGTGATTTTACTGTTATTGGATGGCTTTGTAGAATTCTGGAGTGCCATAACATTCCCAGGCTGCCAGCTTGGAGCAAAAAATGGGCAGAAAAATGGCCATTATGTGGTGTTTGAGAGGGCTCTCTCAGAGCTGCAGGCTTTGGCTGCTGCCTGCTCTGGGAGATGGGATGTGAGCCCAGATTTTGGTCTGTTCTGGGATGGAGTGGGATGTGGGAGTAATGAGAGGTCGGCTTGTGCCTGGAGTTAGCAGGGGGTAGCTGCCCTAGAAATAATATTTCCAGGCTTTATTTAGAATGACATATTTAGGGATGGCTCTTGTAAAAGAGAGAACAGCCACAGGAATTAGGCAAGAGAAAAAAGCTTTGTTCATATCAGGACATTCAGGAAACTCCAACCCTTTTGCTCATCAGAGGGGAGGTTGAAATTCGAGCAGCCTCCTATAAGGATCTCTTAAAGGAGGGAGGAAAATATATTTAAAAATCAGCCAAAAAAAGTGCCAAAAAAGTCAGACTCTGATCAGGGTTTCTAAAGACAATACATTATTAAGCAGTGATTTTGGTTTTTCCCCTTGCCACTTGTTGCAAAAACACGGGAATGTGTTATCCTCATGGAAACATTACACCAAGGACATGAGGAGGAGAATTCCAGGATTAGATTTGGAGGCTGTTAGAGGTGGTGAAGCCGATGTGTTTGAGAGGCGCTGTTTCTTTAGTCCCTGCAGTGTTCCCACAGGGGATGCAGATGCTGGGAAACAGGGCTGCAGGGCCCTTGGTGGTGTCCCTGTCTCTGCTGGGGCATGGAGGTGGAGGCAATAATAAATGGCAGTGCAATGGGTCTGTGCAACTCCCCAGTGAGCCCGGGTGATCAGTGTGCTCTGGACTCCAGCAGCTGCACAGATCCCTGCTTGGCAGTGAGGGTCTGAGGGCTCTGTCTTGGCACCAGCCAGAACTCCAAAACCAGGTCTCTCTTTTCCCTGGGCTTCCATTTGATCCCACAGCAGGGCAAGAGAGGTTGAGGCGGATGGGAGCTGCCATGAGGAGGGAAGGTTTGTGTCAGGCTGTGCTGCCACATCCTGCTCTGTTCTAGCATGATGCCACCTCACTCCAGGCAGCTGAGCAGAGGCTGACTAAGGCAGTTCACAGATTATTTTTATCTCAGCCTTGGATGTGAGCCTCAGTCATTATTTTAACGCTCCATTAAAGCCATACTGTAATGAAATATTAAATCTCACGTTAACATTTTTGTGCAGAGGTTGAATCAGTGCCCTTGTTCAGCGAGGGCATTGCTGGCATTAGCTGGGACCTGCAGGAGCAGCATCAAGCTGTAGTCTCTGCTGTCCTCTCCCCATCCATGTGCTCTGGGCCATCCTTGTTTTCTGAACCCTCCCAGGCGTGGTGACTCCCCCTCTGGGATCTGTGTGCAGGGGCCTTCCTCCTGCTGCTGCTGGCTCCCCATCACTCTGCTCTGTGACGTGAGTGCAGCACAGCTCTCATGCCTGGCTGTGAAAGGGAAGAGCTTTGCTCCCCCTGCCTCGCCCAGAGCTGGGGGGCTCCCGTGCTCGGCGCAGGGCAGCATCCCAGGGCAGCTGCAGAGAGACAGGTACAGAGCTGGGACCCCCTGGCTGACAGCCTGCCGTGGGACTGTCCATCCCATCTTTCAGCTGCTCTATTTGCTGCACTTGGGGTGTTCAAAATAGCTCCTGTGTCATTGTTGACTGGGGCTTGAGTCACACCAGGGTGCCATTGGGCACTAACTGTCTGCAGGCTGAGATCAGACTGCAACCTTTGTTAGCCTGAGGTGGAGAATCAGCAGTTTGGGAGTTTTATGAAAGTTTTGTGAATGAATTCAGACCTCAGTGCTGAGGCTGCCTTTTGGTTAATGAGCTCCTGGTGCCCAATTCGAGCTGAAATCTGAGGGGCTTGTAGTGGGGTTCTCCAAGGAACGTTTCTCCTGCTCCTCTCACAAGCAGGGATTTGTCCCCTAAGTGCTCTTGGGTCTGGGGGCCCCCAGTGCCTTTTTAATCCCAATATTAATTCCTCTCACATAGAGGTCTTCTCTGAACTGGCGAGAACTTTGAACCAAAAGCAGATTGTTGATATTGTTGATGTCCTGTGAGTGCAGGAATGCTTGCAGTGAGCTGAGGCTGCTGACTGAAAGCTGCTGCAGTCCTGCACATTCTGCAATAACACTTACGCTGTATGTTTTAATCAAGCTCAGCAAGCAGCTCAGTCTCCCTGATCCGGCACAGTGTCCTGCTACAGGTTTGGATTTGAGTCTGTTCTGCTTTTCAATTTTCCTATGAAGCTTTTCTTGCTTTGTAACTTTGGGATTTGGATCAGAAAGAGACTTTGGATAAATTATTCTTTTCTGACAGAGAGCACACACGAGTGCTCAAGATTGTTGTGTTCATGCACAGAGCTTCATTCTTGCAGAAGTGGCCTGCTTGTTTGTGGCCCCTCCAGGAGACCCCCACTGCTTTTCATAATAGATTAATTAAGGAAGCATTCAATGGGAACTGGAAGGAGGCGTTTTAGGGATGGCAAGGAGGAGGGATGTACATCTCACCTAATAAATAGGGTGGGACTTGTACAAAGAGCTGTTCCTTAGCGGTTCAGTCTGCCCTGGCTAAGAAAAGATTCATTAGTAGAAACCACTCCCTAGATAATTTTCCACTAAGTTTTTGGGGGATTTCTTTGTGCTTTTTGCTCAGACCAGACTTCCAGAGGAGGTGTGAGTTGCAGAATTTCACTGGAAAATTTTAATCGTGTTGTACAGCTTTGTAACAAATGGCTCCAGCTGATCTTGGATTAACTTAGGTTTTTCAAAGAGTTGCTGTGGGGATAGAAAAATCTGCAGAATTATTTTCTTTCCGCTTTAGAGAGAGAGAAATCATTTTCCAAAAAGCTGGGTCCTGCTCACACAGGGACAGAACAAGCTCCAGAGCCCCACAGCTGCCAGGTGCTCACCTGTCCCAGCCTTGTGGGAACGTGCAGCAGCTTGGCCTCTTGTCCTGAGGGTCTCCAGCCTTGGGGACTCTCTCACTTTGAGAGATGTTGTTGCTAGGGACTTATTGTTAATTCAGTTCAAGTGTGCCTGAAAAATAATACTCACACGTTTGCAGAGAATTATGAACTTATGGCAAAATCAGCTTTTGATAGGGGAAAAATAACCTGTTTTTTCAAATACCAATTTTTAGAGATGAAAAGTATCGTTAAAACATTAGGCATTTTTTAATTTTAAATTTTTGTGGATGATTTATGGTTTTGAATAAAATCTCTTCTGCAGAGAAGAGCTATATAAAGCATTTTAGTAGTCACTAATAGATGAGGTTTTTCTGCTTCCAGCTCCTGTGCAGCCACTGGAAATGGTTCCAGTCTCTTTGGGATTACCTTTTGAATCTATGGGAAGGCAGCACAAGGACGGGCAGAGAGGGGCCAGCGCTGCCTCACCTGGCTGTGCAGCTGTGGGCCTTTAGGAGACCTGCTCCGCGTAAATAACCTTTGGTACTGAATGTTTATGCGCCTTGGATGGGGTTTCCAAAGGAGCTTGTCTGGTTTCTGTACGTGTTGGAGACCAGTTTTTACTCATGAAAACAGGCTGTATAGGATGGAGTTTCTTTTGCTGAATCTTGGTTTTGTTTCTGTGTCAGTCTGAATGAAAATTTAGATTTTTTTTTTTCCCGTTTCTAAGATGTTTGTGCAATAAAAGCAGGTTTTCTGGCTCTTGTGTAGGCAAAAAGGAGCGCCATGGTTCATGTGCCGGCTGGGAAGTGTGGCTCGGGAGCGCCGGAGGGCAGCAGGAACGGGGTGTGAGGGGTGGTGCTTAACAAAGGTGTGACAGGGCTCCCGTTAATGGCCTGTACTCTTTTGTTCCCTTCTCCAGGAAGCTGCTGGAAGAATGCTGTGACCCTGGGCAGCTCTTTGCTATGACAAAGAGGAATTCCCCCATGGGAAAGAACCTCTGGTTTGACGGGGAATTTTTATATTCTGTCACAATTGACAATGCAACTTACTCTCTCTTCCCACAGGTTAGTAACCGTGTTTTGTTTTCATTTTAAGTATTGAAATACTAAATCGTAACATTATTCAAATAAGTATAAATATGCTAAGAAATTGTATCTTCATTTCTCAATACCAAACAGCATCTCATTTCTTACTTCCACTTTCTCAAAATTTTGGTTGTGTGAGTGGTTAATACTTCTCTGGCTGCTTTTTGGAATGTACACAAGGGATGAACTTGGGTCACCTGTCTCGATTTCTGAAGAGTTTGGTTCTGGCTGTTTCAGGAGGGTGATTTCTGCATTTCTGCATTTCAGCCAGGAGTTGCAGTCACTGAGAGCCCTCACCCTCGCCTGCAGTGGCTGCAGCTCACACCTGTGCAGCCAGGAGGGGACAGAGCTGGGTGTGAATTGTCCCCAGTTACTGCCAGGTTAATGAAGTTCATTGGTGGCAAACGGTGCAAGCCCAACAAGAGCCAGCAGCTGGACTTGGCTGATTCTTACTGTGATTTTGAGTGTTGGAAGGGATTGGTTATTAGTGTCTATCAAAGGTGCTTTGGGTTAAATGCCGGGTTTTTGAGAGCTGGCAGTTTGCAATACTGATCTAGGCTGCTTCTTGTATGTGTAATTAACACAGGAACTGATACTAAATAGTGAGTTTGTTATATTGACTTTTGTATGTTGAACACAAATGCTTTATGTGGCTGCACACTTAAGGAAAGCTGACCTTCTGGCTGTTTGAATTGATTGCTCAGAGTGTGTGTCCTGCCCAAGGTCTCAGGGCAGCCCCACCTTAAAAGCCAAGGGGGATTTATTTGCAGTAAATTTTTAAATGCATTTTTCTGCTTCTCTCTTTGTTTCAAGAGCAGTACTTGCCTGAATTTTTCAGGCTCCTTCTTCAAAGAGTGTTGCCTATTATGAGCTTGCTTGCAAGCAGTTTTCCTGAAGATGAATATTCCTTTCAAAAGTATCCAGGAGCTTAAAACAATTCAGAAATACGGTTAATACTCTGAAATGCCGTGGGGATGTAACAGGAATGTAAAGGGCCACAGCTATGTTGATATAATCAAAAAATATTTCCTCTGGAATAAATAAAAATGGCTCCATCCTTACATTGCTGGGCTTGAGCAATTTGGTGATTGCAGGAGATTTCTCAGTCCCGAACCAGTGACTAACTTATAGGATAATGTAACTCAAAATTCAGTAGGGAACTTGCTGTATTTCATCTTATAGAAAAATAAATATGTCCAAAGTTAACATGGAAAATGTCACTTTTTCTGAATGTGAGCAATACAAAACAGCATAATTTTTCTTCTGAGCAGTCTGTAGATGAAGTTCTTACAGCTGGGTCAACATTTCCTGACAGAGTGCTTTTCCACTAAAAATGCTCTTTCATGAAAATATAAATTTAGAATCACTTCATTAGTTTTTCAATTTTTCTTTGAAGTGAAAAGGTTGAAAGGTTTTGATGGTGCTAGGACATTTCATTTTAACTTTTTTTTTTTAATGTAGTACTTGAGCTGTTGGGGTTTCTTTTTATCAGCTCTGTTGCTGCCTCCTTTCTCCTCAGCCTTTGAGTGATTATATTACTCCTTTTCTTTTTTCAAGTTTTTGAACCACCAAGGGAGAAATTTGCAAAAGAGAAAAGCTTTTATGTGGAATTAGTCATTCAGTGCTGCATTTCAGTTTATGAGGACCAAATAGGATGTGGCAGCAGATGCTGGAAGCAGCTCCCCTCAGCCTGCCCTCTGTGTGGTTTTAGCCCTGGGTGTTGAGAATGAGGTTTTGCGAGCAAAATAAAATTATTCATTGAAAAAAATGCTCTGGCTTCATTGTATTTCACTTAAGCAGTTAGATGCTTTTGGTACCAGTAAATTATTTTAAATTACTGAATTATGGTTCCTCATCCGCTCAGATCCCTTGTAAAGTTTTGCCTGCAGAAGCTGTCAGTTACAGGAGTGGCTTCTTGCACTGAGATCCTCATGAATAGTCATCACAAATAGTGCTAGAGGAAACCAAAAAATAAAACTGCCAGCCACAAACAAAATTGGGAAGTGTGGCATCTGTTTCTGGGTACTTTGTGATCAGGAGAAAGGTGACACTTTCCAAATCACACATATAATACAAATATTTATTTACAGTTTTAAATCCCACCTCTAATAGAAAAGCAGAGAAAAAATGGCTCTAATTGTAAATGTAAAATGGAGACATTTTCTGAATGGTGTGTTGGGTTACAGTGACTTACTGATGATTGTGTTGTGTGATTTGTGTTTTTCATTCAGGGTTCCTGTTAAATTTTGGGAGCTTATTCTCACAACATTTTTTGTTTAGCCAGGGATTGTGTTGTCCTGCTGGTGCTGTTTCCAGGCAAATTCCCTGCTCTTGCAGTTATAGCCTGCAGCAAGTAGAATAATTTGTAATTATTTCAGGGGTAAAAAAGGTGTGGAAAGGGAGTTGGCTGTAGAGTCTGCAGGCTTTGTCCCTTTTTGCATGCTGGGAATACCAGGAAAGCCCAGCAATTGCTGCCCTGCTGGTGATTTTGGATGTGCTCTGTTAATTCTGGGCTAGCAGTGTCCTCTGTAATTAGGAACTCTTGGAGAAATACAGTGAAATATTGGCTGTCATTTGTGATACCTTTTCTTGATGCCTTGGATGTGGACGTAAATTTTAGGTCTAAAGATGTCCTTTAAAGCAGCTTTAATTTCTATTTTCATTAATTCTGCTGCCTAAGTAGGTACCACCTTGTGTGCCTTTGAGTTGTATTTAGTTAGGATTTGGGGAAATTTCTTGCTGCTTTCCCTTTTGGTCCCTTTTTTCCCTTCATTCTTTTTCCTTCTCCCTGTGCCTACATTAATATGCAAGCTCTGTTCTTGATTTGGGCTACATATATTGATTCAAAATGAAGATGTGCTAAACATCTTCATATGAATCTGATAATATGAAAGCTAAAACGTAAGGCATCACTTTCAGTCCTGGATAATCTTTAGCCATTGGTATTGGGGTGATCCAAACAAAAATGTGGCTTAATATTTAGTCAAGAGAAGCCCCTGCCTTCCCTGTGATTGCATCCTGACTGATGCAGTAACTGGAGCAGTTTGTGTGGTGTGTCAGAAATGCTGTAATGGAGCATCCTCTGCTCTGGCTGCTCAGTGTTTGTGACACTGCCCCGTGCAGACAAGGGGCAGCCATTCCTGATGGTGGAAATCCAGTTTGTGCTGGAAAGCTGGAGCGTGTCCAGTGTGGAGTAATTGAATGAAGGAAGGGCGGCGTGCCCTTGTGGGGATGAGCTGAGTGGGAGCCAGGAGCTGCTGCCTGTCTGTCCCCTGTGGAGGCGGCTTTGGTCAGCCTGCCTTGCTTGTGGCTTTGTCTGCAGCAATGCAAGGCCAGGCCAGTGCAAACACACGAATGCCCTTTCCACATGTACAGTGCAAACACACGAACAGTGCTGCCCTTTCACGTGTGGCAGAGACAGGGGAGGGCTGGATCTGGCTGCAGCGTCACTTGGCCTGCAGGCACAGGGGTGGGCTGCCCTGCCTCGGCCTCTGGGCCTCAGTCACACTCCCGAGCATCCCTCGCTCCCTGTCCTGGATCTCACAGGAGCTCGTGTGCTGCCCACTGCCTGCACAGCTGAAATGCTCTCCCTGCAGGATCCTTTCTGCACCACCTACTGGGCACAGCTGCACATGTTCTGCTGTGGGGCTGCCAAGCACAGAGCAAAAAGGCTGAGCTCCAGGAGCAAGTGGGAGTGCAAGCAGCAAGGGACAGAGAGGCCCTGGGAATATTATGGGCTTTTTGGTCAGTGTTCATCTGCTTTATGAGGACATAAACTTGCTGCTTTAGAAGCAGGAGCTGTCGCAAGCAAAAGCGTAATTAAAGCAAGTGGGCACAGATGAGAAGCTGCAGGGACACCAGACTTGTGATGGCTCTAAGTGACTTCAGGGCACATGAACCCGGCTGGGGGTGTAGAAATAGAAATAAGGGTGGGTTTGAGTCTGCCCAAGGGCAGCACAGTTCCATTGGCTTTGTTTGTTTTATTACAGTTGTATATACCTGGTAAGATACTGAAAGGAGATTTGTTCCTCCATGCATAGGTTTTTCTGGCAGAGAACTTGTTTATATACTCAGACTTCCACCTACAGGTGCAGTGCAACCTTTGCTTCTTGAGAGAGCTTTATCCTTTATACGCTGCTCACCTCTTGGCCTTTATTTTATTTATGAATTTATTTAAAATCATCTTGTTCAGTTTAAAGATGTTTTACTGTATATGAGACTATATATTTTAATTATTCAGTGATCAGCACATTACATTAATTTTCTCTCTGCAGTAGTTGCCTTTTTTGGTAAGACGCTTCTTTAAATAGGCTTAATACCTGTACTAGCTTATCTGAGGCTTAGGTATGGGTCCATTTTGTACCCAGCTCTTAATACTTGGCAGAATAATGAGTATTAATTTATGGAATGCTACATATCTCTATATATATTTTTTTTCTTTGTGCTGTTATTTGATTTCTTGGTATAGCTCAGGTAAAGTTTACTGGAATGCAGCAGGATACCAGGTTATGTTCAGAAGATATTTATTGTGTAGCAGAGTGCAGTCCCCCCTTCTCCCACATATTCCTAAACACAGATGGAAGTGTGGCTTAGTGGAGTCTGCAGGCCTGGACAAAGTCAGAGAAGGTTATGCCATGCTGAAGCTATTAAGATGGGGTAGCAAAGTTACATATCTTGTAGGAAGGTTGTGTAGTGACTTTCAGGAAATCCTTTGTCCTCTTGCTTAGGGGGGAGTGTCAGCCCAGCTGTACATGTAATGGGAGCCCTGCTGCATCACCGGTCAGACAGTGACTCACTGTAGCCAGGCATTATTGATTTGGAGTCCTTATCACATGATGGGGAGGGGAAGGGCTGTGCTTCTCTCCTGGAGCTGCTTTTATCCCCTGAGTGATTCCCATGCAGCAGGCACTGCCTTCCAAGTGGCATTTTGGGCACAGGGAGAATAAGGCAGTGGTGCCTTTCTTCCATCAGGATGCACT